CGACAGGGAGCAGCCCGACAGGGAGCAGCCCGACAGGGAGCAGCTCGACAGTGAGCAGCCCGACAGGGAGCAGCCCGACAAGAAGCAGTCCGACAAGGAGCAGCCCGACAGGGAGCAGCCCGACAGAGAGCACCTCGCCAGAGAGCACCTCGCCAGGGAGAAGCTCGACAGGGGCCAGCTGGGCCGCGCCGGTGCCCGGCAGCGGAGCGGTGGAGCTGGAGGAGCGCCGCGCCGGGTAGGCAGCCCGGCCGCAGCTGCGCGCGCCGGGACTGCCGGCGCACAGGCGCCCGCCGCCCGCCCGCACCGCACCGCGCGCACTCCAGCCAGGGCCGCACCGGGCGCAGCTTTGGAAACTCGTTTTCCTCGCGACCTACATGGTCGCAGCTGGCAGGCTCGAAGGTTCGGCTCGGTCCGGACCGCAGCCGACAGCTGCCCAGGGGAGATGGACACCCCCGGGCCGGGCGCGGCGAGGGGCGCCACCCCCACAGGTGTATAAATATCCTCCCGAAGTGGTCCCGTTACTTAAGGCTTTATCAGAACGGATGGCGCTGCGCTCCCGGTCCCAGCCCAGGGCTGCGGGTGGCGAGGGCTCCGCGTCGCTAATGTAACGACATGATAAGACCCAATCCAACGCTGTGGGCGCGCCCGACACACACGCACACACACACACACACATAGAGCTCAAAGCGATGCCGCAGCGCGCCGAGGAGAGCATTCGGCAAACCGGTCCGGTGCATCCGTCTCTCTCACACCCGCCACTCCCTCCCAGCCCGGGCCGCCGCTGGCCAACGCGCGTAGCAGCCAGATGGAGTACATGACGTCGTGACAGGAAGGCGCCGATAACGGTGAGCCCGAGCCGAGATGACTCCTCCAATAACAATCCCGCATTATTTCCAAACAGTCCCGTGATTCACTTATTTATCCACTCCGGTTTCTCTGTCGCATTCGCTGACTCCCCCGAGTCGAGTCACGGTGAGTCAGGGTAACGTGGCCACAGCAGGGGTCGTTGGAATACGGGCGCTTCAGAAATAGCGACCCGAAGTAAAGAGAGTAACGGTCCTCCACCGGGAGGTCGAGTTAAGCGCGCAGTCACCCCTCTCCTCCCTCGTTTGTTTTTCTCGTTCGCATGGCGTGGGCATTTTTCCCAACGATATTTTCCACCGTGGGGTCGGCTATGAAGCTGCTGACTTGTGGGACGAGGCCAGAACGGCGAGCACCCGGCGGCACGGCGCGGATGAAAGGCGCCCGCCAGCCCTCCTGCGCGCAGGACATGCCCCCCGAATGTAGCGAGAGCGACACAAAACTCTGAGGTAACCGGACTGCTTTGGGTGCTTTGGGGGCGCAGACCCAAAGTCGCGTTGCAATTATGCTGCACCGCGTGTGGGTGGCTTGGCGTATCGTCCCTGACCACAACGCGAGCCACGACGGCGCCTGGCGGTCCGAGTGGGTAGGCAAACCAGCCCGCGCACGGTTCAGTGGCATGAATAGGAAAGTAGGAAAGCGAGCAGGGCAAATGGCCAATCAGCCACCAGGTAAAGTGGGCGCGAAAAGTCATGGAACAGAAATACAAAACAAACACAGCAAAAGCGAAACTTATTTTCCATACATTAGCCGTAAGTTTTGTTGGTTTCCTGAATGTTTAGTACGGGGTAGAGTTGTGGAGTCATTCCCTATGATTTCACATGAGTGAGACCACTAAGTGGTCACGTCGCGCGTCGCTCTGAGCGGCGTTCCCATTAATTACTCGTGCAGACAAACATTTTGCACAGAAGAACACAGTAATAATTTCACCACCACTCCCTTCCCCTGCTTTTTTGTTCGACAGTTAAACCTTTGGCAGCAGATGAATATGACTGTTGACAGCCAGACTCCCGCCCTCTGACATGCTCAACGCACATCCGAAGGGGCGCACGGAGGATGAGAAAGTAGTGCCTGAGTCGCGTCCTGTCGCGCTCGGGTAGCAAATCGTAATTGTGTCAATGTCAAATTTTGGAAATGGTGTCAACCTGTTGAGCGAGCGAGACACACGGCGCCGGCGATGTGCGGACGCCGCCGCGCCCACGTCTCTGCGTGACGCCTCGGCCAGCCGTCACTTCGGTAATCGCTGGAATGTAAAAAGATAATGGGTATCGGGAGTAGTGGTGAGTCGTCTGCTATGAATAGCGCGGCGCCGTTGGCAGCCGTGCTCCGTGCGTATGTGTGTACACTGACGAACATAACCTCAACCATCATGACATTTCGTAACCCTGTCAGAGGCACTGCCGTAGCGTCGGCCGGCGCTCGCGCCACGCAAAACGTCGCGGAGCGAAACTCGTCGATTGCGCGGTCGCTGTCCAACGCCAAGCGGACGATCACCGGCGCATTCACCCGAGCCCGGCGCTCCGGAGCATGTAAACAAAAGGGGGCGCTCCCCTGGCATGTCGTGGGCGCGGTTAGCGCGTTTGTCCGCGTTTGTCGCGGCCGCGACTCTCCACTCACCTGCCGAGCGTTGGGCAGCACCAGCAGCGCCGTCAGCTGCGAGGCGTGCCGACGCTCGCGGGCGAACAGCACGCAAACGCGGGCGAGGACGGCGTTGGGGGCCATCTCACATCACACTCCTAGCAGAAGCGGCCTGGCACTACAGGACGGGGCACACGCACGGGCAGGGCAGGGACAGCCGCCGGGGCGTTGGCAGCCCTGCGCTCCTGCTCCTGCCGGGAGGGCCGCGGGGCGCTATCCGCAGCGCGCGGCCGCGGCGCCAAGATCAACCGGTGCGCGAGCGGGGTTGTCGTCGTCCCCGTGAGGCTGGCCGGCCCCCCTCAAGAACACTGCGTCGCGACACCCTCTCCGGGGGGCGGGGGCGGCAGGGGGTGCTGTGGCGCGCGGGTAGCGGGGTGGGCCGGCGAGCGGCGCGGGCGGTGCGGGGCGCGAGACACACCCTCTCCCGACGCCGGACTGCGAGCGACTGAGGGAGGCAGTGGAGTGGGGCACGGGGGCGCCGCGGCTTGCGGGGTCACAGCCGGCGCCCGCGAGGGGGCGCTAGGCGCCAGGGGCGGGGGCTGACCTGACTGCACCGAGTGTGTCAAGTGGTGTCACTAGGTAGAGTGGAACTGGAGCATTTCGAATGATTCATTTTACACTGTTGTATATTTATTATTCTCCAAGCACCTTTTGGCAAAATTCAGTATCCAGACAATAATTGTGACCCAGAGCAAACAACAAAATCTATCAACAGAATGGGGAAATCAAGTTTTGAGAACAGAAGTTTATCATACTCTAGGAACAATGACTTAGAGTGGTCATCCCCAGTAACAACAATTTCTGGAAACACACTTGTCAACAAAAA